CCGTGCAGATTGCCGCGCGGTCACAGAGTCGCCCAGCACAGACAATCGCACTGTGGGTGCCATTAGTTTCTAATGGCACCCCAGTGGCGCTGGGCGGATCGCGCGGTTTCCTGCTAAAACAGGCACTCGTCGTGTATCGCAAAAAGAAGGTACATGTACCTTTTGACTGCGATTGCAGCACGGATGTCACCTCATTGAAATCAATGGAGCCGCACGGTAATCACTGTCTGCATTTGTGCAGGCCCACGTGATCCCGGGACGCCCGATCCCGGATCGCTCAGGTCTGCACCAGGCCTTAGACTCTGATCACATGGAGCGATTTGTAGCGCGATTTCCGCTCAAAAATCGCTCAGTGTAGCTCGTTCAATGAATTTCAATGCAGCTGTTCACATCTCACAGCTCATTGTCCCCTGTAGCTTGTAGTTTAAGCTTGTCGCTCGAACATGACCTACTTTGCCAGCGGATTTTGTGTGATTTGGCCCCAATAGGCTTTGATAGACTGCCAAAAGAAGTGCTATATAGCGCAACAAAATGTGCACTGTAGCTCAATGTAGCTCAATGTCGCTCAGCTCAAATCAACGCTGAAAAAGTGCTTTTTTTGATGTAGCTCAGTGTGAATGGGGTCTTAGGGCTTTTGGGTAAATACACAAGGGAGGCTTTTACAGGTAAATAACATGCCTAAAACATGCTAAATGCCCATATAATCTTACAGAAAGTTTGTTGTTGAAATGGATCTAGCAACAGGGCCTCTTTAAAGTGTATCTAAAATGTAACTAAAGTGTATCTAACAGTCAATGTCCCCTCATTTTGAAGAATTTTCATGTTATGCCTCTGAGACAGGAAGTGATTCATTAGACTGCAAAGCCCCCTCCTGCCCCAGGACGCTGCCTGGCTTGATCTATGCGATCCAGTGCGTTCTGGGCTCGAACCGCACCGGAACGCACTGAATATGGTGTGACAGGGCCCTCAATGTGACATTTATTGCACTTGAAGTAGTCAACTGCTAATATCTCCAATGGCAGTCTCTGGTCCCTTTGAACATCCCTAGCAGGCCACTTGTATAATTAGAATTCAAGGCATTTTAAACATAACCACTTAAGACTATGTCACAGATGTTCTCTGAACTACAGGTTCCAAATAGCTCCATCTAGCTCTTGTGCAGAGGTGATGTAGCTCCTCATCACCATGGAAACCAGACTCAGCAACTGGATCCATATATCCAGACAGCACAGATACATGCAAATCCCTTGTCAAAAACAGCAGCCAGAAATAAAAGAACATGCCCGCCTACAAGAGCTCTAATTCTGTTTGGCCCCTGTACAGACGCACCAGGCATAGCCAGCAACATGATATCACTACTTCCCGTTTCAATTTTGCAGTTACCAGTGACACCTGCCCGCTCATGAGACACTAGTTGGGTATTATCAGGCTTGTGGGGTTATTCTTGAATAAGCTGCGTAAGCTTTTTCTTCTCCAGCTCCCCATGATCAATAGATTTTAAGCAAATAACATTTTAGGTATCTTTATGGTATTTTGGATAGAGTAGGAAATGGTTAAACTCAGTGCCAGGTTTTTTTGTCATCTGTGTGCCATTAGGAAGATTTCTCTTCACTTGCTGTCCTGAAAGAAAATCATCTCTAAGTTGTCACTGAAACACAGGTTCCGACTGGAAGTTCCCATCTAGTCCTGTTATAGTGACAGCCCAAAATGTTGGAATCACTTTCAATTCCAGTGACAATGGTCAAAAGGACAAATAAAGAGAATGAATCTCCTCAATAGGGACACAGGCACAACAAAAAACTGACATGGGTTCTGACCACTCTATCCAAACCACAAAAAAAAAGTTTGGGCTTTAGATACAAAAAGATTCTCTACAAAAACACATATGTGTGTTTTTATATTTGCCTTGAATTCAGCTTTAAAAAACATGTTGCACTAATAATAACATTGAAAGCCACTGTCTGCCTTTATACCAAGTGTCCGAGGAATTTTTATATTTAACAGGAAGAAATATCTCCAACAGGCCAAGAAAACCTGCCCTACCACTATAGCTGCCAAATGCAGAACGTGTGTGAATGGTGCATTCTCTACCATTTGAAAAGATTCAGCTCAGAATATGTTTTTTGCTTGACTGCACAGAACTTAATCCAGACTCACTATGCCAGGTTTCTTAGATATCACTTAAAGGCATACTCCGTTTAAAACTTCACTTTTGCATAATTATTGGCAAACTCTGGTTTCTATATCTCTTGGAAACTTCTGTAACAAGAGACAATATTTCCACCAGAATTAGTTGTGTCACGCTATACTGATTCTCGAGTTGCAAGGGGTAGAGATATAAACTACTGCAAGGATATCTTGTCACTGAAGTCTACAAAAGAAAGTAAAAAGCCAGCAGGCAACTCAATCCAAAATTGGGTCCTGGACAATAAGACTTAGAGTGACACTAAACACAGGAGTTTAACCTTAAAAATACATCCAAGGTAACCTTTTTATCCCATAGTTCTCTTCAGGGCCATGGGAGGACATATACTAACCTTCTTCTGTGACCTAAAGCTCAGTATATAGTGAGCTATTGCTTGCGATATAGTGAGATCGGTGCCGACAGGACGGATCCCGACAATACTGTCAAGATCCACCCAGTTGGCTGACTGACAGCAGGCTCTGCCTATCTAGCTGTGCCTGCCCCCTCTCCTGTCCGTTCCTCCACTCAGCGCTGGAGGATCGGAGAGGGGAGGGGGGAATCCTAGCGGGGAGTGGTGACAGTCACCGCTCTCTGCAGGGAGATGATCGGGAAGTGAGCAGGTCAGCGGCATGCGTTTGCTGACTTCCCGATCAATAGAGCCGACCTGTGACAGCTTCATTGTCACAGGTCGGCTTAATTTATGGGGATGAGTGTTTCTCACTCACCCCACAATTCTCCTTTAACTATTAACAAAAATGTACCTTATTTATCACTCATCTGTAGATCCTCAGATCATCTCTGAATTCATGCCGACACTGTCCTTCCTTCTGGAGGGTGGCTACTTTTGATCCCCGTGATCCCTGTGTGTGTTGTAAAGTTGCCGCCACTCCAAGCTCACTCCTGTGATGGACTACAATCTCAATACAAATTGGTGAACTAAACGTGAGATTGTAGTCCATCACAGGAGCGAGCTTGGAGTGGTGGCTACTTTACAACACACACAGTGACCATGAGGAAAAAAAGTAGCCCCCCTCCAGAAAGAAGGACAGTGTCAGCATGAATTCAGACATGATCTGGGGATCTACAGCTGAGTGATACACAAATAAGATACAGTATTGTTAATAGTTAAGGTACTTGAATGTATTTTTAAAATATAACTCCTGAGTTTAGTGTCAGTTTAACTTTAAAGCCAAACTCCATTTCAGATTTCCATAAAACCCTCCCTGCCTTAAATTATAAAAATATACAGCATGCATACCTTCATTGTACAGGTCTTCCAGTTGGTCATGTGAAGAATGCTATCCCTTTTCATCTTCTCTAGAGTTGGCAGTCCTTACTGCTGCAGAGAACAGCCCATATGTTGTAACGTGTAAGCTTGTGTGCAGCAATACATTGAGCCCAGGCTTTGGAATGACGCTGTTCCAAGGGGTGTGTCATTTTTGGCCAGGGCTCACAGGAAGTAGGTTAATAACACCGCTGTTATTTGATCCGGTGACACATAGTGAACGGGTGATGAGGATGGGGAGAGCAGTTCTGGGGCATGGACAGGCTGAGTAGTGCATTAAAACCTTTAGGTTTTTTTAAGCAGGAAGCCAGAAAATAAAAAAAAATAAAAAAATGAAAGTGGAGTTTGGCCCTAATGTAGTTAGACAATTACCTCTGACCAATGGTTATAGATTTTTGTAATTTGCATATTCTCCCCGGTGTTTGCACTGCCCTAACAAATAAAACTAATGCTGCTTCTTAGAGCCAGATACAACCATGCAGATGATATACTGTACACAGTATGGTTGTAGCAGTGATATAATCCTGACCAACAAAACCATACATTTCACATTCCAAAAATACCCTGTATATGACAAAGAAATACACTATGAAGTAGGGATGCACCGATACCAGTTCTTTTTTTTATATTTTTTTCCGGTGCTCGCCGATACGGAATGCTGATACCAGAAGTCCCATTAAGGAAGCCAGGCGGCGTGTAATGATTTGCCACCTGGCTTCCTGATTATCTGGGAAGCCGGGCGGTGTGTAAAGACTCGCCACCCGGCTTCTTGATTTACAAGGAAGCCGTGTCCATGCTTCCTCATCACCAGGTGACGAGGGAGCATGAAGCCGCCTTTCTGGCCAATCAAGAAGCCAGGGGGCGGGTAATGACTCGCTGTCCGGCTTCCTCATTGGCCATCTTTCTGAACAATCATGAAGCCGGGCAGCAAGTCCTTACATGCGCCCTCGTCACCAAGTGCCCGGCTTCCTGATACTGGAAGTTGGGTATCGGGTTAGGCATCAGAGCATTTGGGCGAGTACGAGTCCCTATTATGAAGTACAAGCAATAGGAGATGAATTTGGAGCAAAACAACACATCCTGTTCGACAGAAGAAACCAGGTCTCGATTCAGATGTTGTTTGAAGTAAATCTCACAGAACTAAATTAATACAGCTTATTATAAGAGAAACATAGTTCTCTGAAATGTTGCATTAGTTCATTGATGTATACAGAGACTGGAATTGGATAGGTAAGCATCTGTCTTTTGTGATGCACTACTATTGTTGGCAATACAGTCTCCCTATATTAGACCACACAGGATTCATGTAACTATGTGTCAGATTATTCCCCCAAAAGCTACCAATTGAGTTCAAACATACCCCATAAAAAACAAGTTTAATCTAAAAGTTTACCTCTGTTACTGGTAACTGTAGTGAACTGTTATAGTTCTTAGCACCAATGCTTTGATACAGAAGGTCCTATGTGTCAAGGGGCCCATCATGATCAAAGCCAAAACCATTATATCTGGTTGTTTTAAAGTACTACCCACCTCTTTTTTAATTCTGTTCTCAACAGCCTGTATCCGATGATCCATCTCTTCTTCCAGCTCACTTAACTGCATTGCTGCTTTGTCCTGTGCTCTATAATTATACAAATAGTAGGTGTCAGCCAGAAAGGCATTATGCAATCATTTACTAATTCGATATTTAGTCATTATTTTTGGGACGTTGTTGCATAATGTTTCTATATGTGCTCACCTGTGCATGGTCTGCTAAATCCTGCAACGCCATGCTTATCTATTGTACATTTGCAACATCCAGACTACCTAATCAAAGAATCAAAGCCAGAGAAGGTCTAAAGTTACATAATAGATCACTGTTCTTTCCTAACAAATTAAAGCAAAATTCCACTGAAAATAAATTCTGAGTTAATTCTTAGCTAGGACTGTGAGTTCTGGCTATTACAATGATTTGCCATATTATTATGCTCAGTAATAGGCCAACATGGCAGGAAGTGGCAAAACGTATAATTCCAATTCATTTAATATTATAGTTCTTATGTACTAGCAGAGCCAAGACACTTTTTTGTCTTTTAAGTCAGGATTTGCATGAGATTTGACTGTCTGTGTCTCTGGATCTGCTATTTTTGTGGCATGTGGCTTCCACTCTGGGTGACCAGTTTTCACCTTTTAAATCTTATGCTCAATATCTAAAAGCTGTACAAACAATGCACATATGGATTGAGCTCCATCACACCACAGCAGCCCACACTGGACCCAGGCTGCGGTTCCACTCCAGTTCTCGTAAGGTAGGGAAACTGGGTGGATCTTTAAGAAAAAGAATTAAGAAAAATATAAGTATTTTTGGAGTGTGCATGTGTTTGTGAGATTGTGTCTGTGGTTGTGTATGTATGTCAGTGTTTTTGTGGGCCCGTGCACACTAGAACAGTACGTTAATCACACAGTACTGTGCGATTAATGCACTGTACCACGCAATCGCACTTACCGTGCGTTCTGGAGGGGGAGGTGTGTTGCGATGCCATTCATTTGAATGGTACCTCAAACACATCACCAACCCACAGTTCGTACGCCCGCACCGGAATGCGCGGTACCCTAATGCCGTGCATACCAATGCAGTGCGACTTGGGTCGTGACTTATTGACCAAGGACAAATGTGGGTCCTGAGGTCACACAGGTTGAGAACCACTGTACTAAGGGGACCAAGCACAAGTTTTTCACTTGCAGTTACGGTAGTTGTCTACCACCAACTGAACCACAGTAATCCACTTCTGCCAATGACACTGTACGACCAATTTAAAAGCCAGGTGAAGTCTATCATGTGGTAAAAATTCATTTTGCAAGGAATACCCAATCATGTGCAAGAAAAAAAACAAACAGAATCCCCAATTTATAGAAGGGATATCCTAGAATTGGAAAGGGCCCAGCGAAGAGCAACAAAGTTAATAAGGGGGCTAGAGGGCCTCAGCTATGAGGAATGATTACATGATATCCAGTTATTTACCCTAGAGAGGAGACATTTAATTGGGGATATGATTACTATCTACAAATGAATCAATAGTGAAGGTAAGGGAGGTAACAACTTTAATCTAAGGCTTAGGGGTCTATTGCTGCCAAAGGATCTAGCCGTAGCTTCAGCTGATCCTTCGGCCCCAGGACCCCTTCGATTCTACTGAACGGGCTATTCACTATAGCCCGTACAGCTACCGAAGTTGGCCGAGTGGTTCAGTTGAGCCGAAGGCATATTCTTCGGCTCGAATGAGCCGAGGTAAAAGCCGAGGCTGGCCGAACAGCCTGCTACTGACAGCTGGGCGGAGCCAGCCGTCATCTCACGGCTGGCTCCAGTCACCTGCATGCAGAGACAGATCAGCATCCTCTGGTTACCAGGTAACCAGGGGCGCTGATCTGTCAGTACACTGAGAACCCCGGCGGAGCCGCCGTGATATCAAGGCAGCTCCGCCGGGTTCTCAGTGTGTAAAGACAGTTCAGCGTCCCTGGTTACCTAGTGACCATGGAACGCTGAACTGTCATGAGAGCTTGTCGGAGCCGGCGGTGATATCAAAGCCAGCTCTGCTAAGCTCTCATCGTAATGACAGAACAGCGTCCCTGGTTACCCAGTAACCAGGGACGCTGTCCTGTCATTACAATGAGAGCTTAGCGGAGCCGGCTTTGATATCACCGCCAGCTCCGACAAGCTCTCATTGTAATGACAGCTGGTCCCGGTCAATAGAAAACAGTTGGGCGGAGCTGTCACTGCTAGCTCCGCCCAATCGTTTTCTACTTTTTTTCTACAGTTTTTCTATTCTGCTCGGTACCACAGAGGTACCGAGCCGAATGGCGCTCGGCGGCATTCCGCTATTCACTCACTGCTGTTTGGCCTCTATGAGAATAGGTCGAACAGCAGCAAGTAGCCTGCCGGAGGTTCGGCTCAGCCGATCCAGATGTTGGATCAGCTGAGTCGAACTCCTTCTGCACTTCGGGTCGGCTGAGCATGTTCGGCCGACCCGAACCTAGCCGCAGCAAGCCGATGTACGGCTGATTTCATTCGGTATACGGTTTAAATTCACCGTACAAGCCTTAAGTGAATAGCCGAACGGGTCGGTTATTCAAGCGGCTGCCCTCGCCAGCTTTGTGAATAACCCTCATAATCTAAAATTGTGGAGGGGGTTCTTTACAATTAGAGCAGCAAAAATTTGGAACTTCTAATTGCCAATTTGCCTTTAGTAAATAAACCGCACTGTGTTTAAATATCCTTGATGGATGTAATTTCCCAAAAGTATTTCCCCACCTATGGTGGACCCTCCTGTCTCCCCTGTAAACTGTGGCATCATGAGACATCACTGAGACTTGGACAGATTGGCTGGGAGTGTCGCTCCTGTGTCCTCTGCAATCCGTAGGGGTGGATAACGCTGACCCTATTTGGGGAAGACAACTGCAGAAGGAGGGGGTACGAAATGCACACGATTCCCCAGCCTGTTGTATTGCACAGTTGGGTCTGAGTAAGCGGATCAGGTTATCGAAATGTGTCAGCTTAATTTTTGCCCTGCACAGGATGCCGACTACATGTACCTGACAGTTTGTAATTAAGGGGGTTTTCTCTCTCCTCCCTTTTTTCTTGAATATTGCAGTACAATAAGAAACACTGCGCAAGGATACTATGCTTAGGCTGGGTTCACACCTAGGCGTATTGAATATGTGCGTTTTTACCGCGAGACCAAAACGCCCCAAAGAAGTACATGTACTTCTTTGGGCATAGGCCGTTTTGTATCGCGTTCGGACGGGCGGAAATACGGCAAGGTGTGAACCAGACCCATTGAATACAATGGGATTTAGATGTTTGAGCGTTTTGTAGAGCGTTCGTCGAGGGTTGAACGCGCTACAAAACGTTCAGGTGTGAACCAGGCCTTAATTCTGTATTGGGTTGAGGAATGTCTTTTATGATATTTTACAGATTGGTATAGGTTTTAAATTAACTATGTCCTAATGAAATTCATGTGATTTTATATGATGTTTGTTATAATATATAATGGTTGTTGTTTGATACATGGGACACCTTTAAAGTCCAATTAGCTCGGGTTCAATGCACAGGCCTCAATTGTGGGTCAATTATAATAGGATGCAGTGTCCTGTTACATGAATCCTTATGTTGCATTCATTATCAATCATTTCTCTATTATGAGAACTGCAGTAGAAACATATACTTTGTGTATCCCTGTTTTTGAATGCCACCTCCCTTTCACATCACTCAAACCACAATCAAACAGTGCAAAATAATATACCACAAACATTAGTCTTTACAATCATGAATATTTACAGCAAATCAGACCAATATTAATATACGTTTATTTTGTTCTATGTCTATGCCAAATGTGTCCTGAGTTACACTACAGCAGTTATAGGGTAGCAGAGCAGTAAGGGCTAGATTTAACCACAATTTTACCACGATTGATGCATTTTTTGTCATTTTTGGGGGGGCTCAAAATGGGATTTCAGGTGCATTCTGTTGCGTTTGCATGCGTTTTGATGTGTTCCATCGCGATCTGATGCAGCTAAAATAGGCCAAGCAGTACTTTTTCTGGCTGCAACGGAATGGACCGCTCTGGTGTGGACAGAGCACAAGAATCCCATAGGAAAGCATTGTGATGCGTTTTTGATGCTGTTAAAAAAACGGAACGGACTGCATCTGGTGTGAACTAGCCCTGAATGATACAGACAAACTACTAAGGGTTAACAAGTTTACCATAATGTGTACAGATACCTTTTAACGGCAATAGCTAAGCTTTCCATTTCTGTGCTCTGGAGTCTGATCTCCCGGACAAAATTTTGGATGACATGTTCATACTGCTGGATTAATAGGGGTTCCACTATGGTGATGTTCTGATAAAGTACACCTGTTTGTTCTTTCCTGCAAATAAAAAGGAAAAAGCTCATTAAGTTTCTTTATTAGTATGAGGATTTATGCGTTCATAAATATCTGAGGACATTTTAATTTTTCCAAAACCTGTTAAAAGTTCTGCAAGATAAGCTGTTCTACTTAGCATTTCTACTAAAACGGAGCTCAGACAATTTAACCAGTTGCCGTCCACCCGTTGCAAAAAAACAGACGGACGGCACAGTCACATTGGCGGGTATTGTAATAGCAATAACAATAAGTGTTAAAAAATCATATAAATAAAAAATGTTTTAAAAAAATAAGTCGCATATAAAAAACCCCCAAAAATTAAGTTCCCCACCCCCAAAATGTTTTGTCATTTAATATAGGGGAAAAAATTTTTTTTTTTTTTAATGCGGTAATTTTCCCATAATATTAGTAAAAAATAAAAACCGCAGTGGTGATTAAATACCAACAAAAGAAAGCTCTGTCCCCAAAAATGGTATTTAAAAATATAAAAAAATTGTAAAAAATGGGAAGGGGGTGTAACACCGCGGACTTCAACTGGTTAAACGAAAACAACAGCTAAGCAGAATGTGCAATTCACTTTTTCTTTAAAGTAGTATTTAACGCTCCATCTTTATTTCAATAATGAATTCAGATCAAACAAATATATATTGCCCAGCAAAGTATTCCTTTACATTCATGCCCAAGCACTTACAGTTATCACGCTTCCGAACAGCTCCAACTCTCTCAGCAATGCTTCCCTGAACGTGCTGCCCAGTACACTATCACAAGATACAGCACAGTCTCCAGCAGCTGTTCATCTACCAGCTTGTAGGAGGGAGAAGGGAAGAGGGAGGAGAAATGGATCGGGCGAGAAAAGTGTCTTGCCCTGCTGTGCCTGTGTGTTTGTGGAGACACACACCTTACTAGTACACAGAAGGGTGACTTCATATGACCATGCAAGGGAAAGGAGACACCCTAAAACATGATTTTAGGGCCAGTGCTCAGGGGACCAGCTGATTCTGCAGGAAGCTAAAACTTTAAATATCAAGAAGCAGCATCTATTGTAAGTGATTTCATCATCATTTGAAATAGCTTAAGAACTGACTTTAAAGTTTTAGCTTCCTGCAGAATCAGCTGGTCCCCTGAGCACTGGCCCTAAAATCATGTTTTAGGGTGTCTCCTTTCCCTTGCATGGTCATATGAAGTCACCCTTCTGTGTACTAGTAAGGTGTGTGTCTCCACAAACACACAGGCACAGCAGGGCAAGACACTTTTCTCGCCCGATCCATTTCTCCTCCCTCTTCCCTTCTCCCTCCTACAAGCTGGTAGATGAACAGCTGCTGGAGACTGTGCTGTATCTTGTGATAGTGTACTGGGCAGCACGTTCAGGGAAGCATTGCTGAGAGAGTTGGAGCTTTAATGTAGGGATGCGGAAATTAACGATTCATTCCTCGATTAATCGTTAATTTCTTTGACCGATTAAAACATTTTTACTCTACGCCGGCTTCTGGGTCTTCCGGGAGTCCCGTCGCAGATCCGGTGACGTCACGGACATCGACATCACTGGACTCCTCCCCCCTTCCACAAGTGGCTCTGTCGACTAACGAAGGGAAGGGGGGAGGAATCCGGTGACGTCGATGTCCGTGACGTCACTGGAATCCTCCCCCTCCCCTTCGTTAGACGACGGAGATGAAGACAGAAGATTCAGAAGTGTCACATGACCACAAATTTAGATTTAAAAAACCTACCTAAAAGCCCCTTTTACTTATCTAAACCCAGCAATTAGTTAGAGGGTGTATGGGTTAAAGGGTGAATGTATGGGATGGGGACGGGGCTCCCAGAAATCAGCTTAAAGGAGAACTATGAGGTGAGTGCTTTTCACTCACCTCATAGTTCTAGCCGACCTGTGACAATGAGACTGTCACAGGTCGGCTCAGTAGATCGGGAGGTGAGCGAACACATAAACCTCTTCTCCCATGGACCCCATGTATAGGCCAATGTAGTTGGATCTGTATGTGCGTTATAATTAATCAAAATTAAATCGATTTAATCATTACCTGCCCTACTTTAATGATTTCAATTTAGAGCAGCACTGCTTTACAAACTGCTTAGTTCCCTGGGATTCACCAATGGTTGTTTGTTGGTGTATTCATTATTAAAGAACAAATCCAGGCATGTAAAAAATTAACCCTGTAGTGGGGCTACCCCTGCACTGCAATTGTTAAGTGCTTGTTGTGACCTAGGCTAGGGCCTAAAATAATACATATATACTCACCTGATCCCCGGCCCTGTTGAGCGGTCACTGCCATGGGACCGAGGATCAGGTGAGGGTTTATTTTCGAACATAGACCAAAACGAGCACTTAGCCCTTGCAATGCAGGGATCATTTCTTACATGCCTGAAGTTCTTCCTCCAGTAAAACACAGAGGGGCCATTCACACCAGAAGCCTTGCCTGTGTGTTGGGGCTGCGCTGTCTGCCTTTGCAGCTCTGCCCCAATGCACAGATAAGACAATCTGCCTTGTTTGTTATTGGCACAGTACTGCTGAAGTACTTTTTTCCAGTGCAGTATCGCACTGTGATAGAACTTAAATAACTCGGGGCAAAAAAAAAAATGAACCCGTACTGCCAGGGTTTAGTGCTCGTTTTGGTCTAAGGTGTAAAAGAAATACTCGCACAAACCTCCGACTCGTCTGGCTGCTAGTCCAGTCTCAGCAGCCTCTCCGGCGGTCTAAGGATCCATGAGACATCACTTCCAATGGTGCATTGGGCGTGAGGACGCAGAGGAATATTCCATCACCAGAGCGGAGGGGGAGAGAAGCTGCAGGGATTGATCTAGCGGCCATGTGGCTTCTTAAGATCAGTTTATCTTTGTTATTTTAAACCCTAAACCAAAATGAGCAGTTAACCCTTGCAGTGCTGGGGTAGCACCACTGCAAGGGTTAATAATGTTTCTGCTCAGAGTTCTTCTTTAATGAAATGTCACTTGGGACGCTTCAATAAAGTTCTAACAATAAAAAAATAAACTGTGTGATGTGCCGGCATCGAGCCTGTCAGTGCACACAAGCAGCCATGCATTCAGTGTGGCTTGCTGGTGTGAACAGGCCCTAAAGGTCAAGGTTGGAAACTCCTTACTTTTTTTATCTGCCTGCCCTTCATCTGGTCTGATCATAAAATATTATTGTGGGTGTGGTGGGGTGTCAAACATAGAAAGAAAAAAAACAACATTCTGTATGCTTAAGAGCCCATTCACACCAGGGCGGCTGCGAATCAGCACGGTTTCCGCGCTTATTTCAAAAGGGAGGTTTTGGGAGTTTTTAATTGCATTTAAGGGCTGAAATGCAATTAAAAACGCCCAAAACCGGGCTGATCAGCACGGTTCCATTAAAAGCTGTATGGAAACGGTACTGATCTAACATCACAAATTTCCCGGACGCTCCGAGAGTCTCCTGCTATTAGATAGCGGCATTTTCTCCTGGAAAGGTTTACTCTGCTTATCTAGCAGAGTAAACCTTTCCCTGCAATCTGTTTTTTTGGGGGGGTTTTTTCTGACATCGGGGCTGCTGGCCGCCGTCAGCCAGAGGAAAAAAAAAAAACCAGCATAGGAATGAAGCAGAGGGCACCTCCCTGAAATTGCTTTTTTCAGGTTGGGATCCCCGAGTTTATTTATGTACAGATCATGACTTGCTTTTCGACAACCCCAGAGCTTTACACTCCCATTATTAATTATTTTGTCAATTTCACACCAGATGCAGTTGTGATGCAGTCCGTTCAGTTTGTCATCTGCATCAAAATCCTGCTTGCCACATTTTAGCTGCACCTGAATGCATCAAAACCCATGTTAGGCAAAAACATGTCACAACGCATCAAAAACACATTAAACCACGTCCAAAAGCATCGCACTGAAGCTGTACATCCCTTTAAGAACAATCTGTTCCATATTCAGGCCTCACACATAAATCCCCATACATACTGTACACACTGGGATTCATTTCCTAAAAGAATAGACACTGCTCACCTGGTAAAGTGAATGTTCACTGTGCTGTGTTCACCGCCTTGAGCTTCAAGTAGCATTCAGGTGTTAGCAAAAAATCTTATTTCTTAATTTCCTTTGTATATGAATGGGAATTTAAAGTGAACACAGGTTTACCTTTATTTACTATCATTACTTTGCTAAGTGAACAGCCCCTGACAATGCTCAATTATCGTTCGATTTCTTTTGTTCCGTCATCGATCCGTAGTCCGATATCCGCTTGAATACACCATCATGCACAGACCAATGTAGATTTTAATTATCGCTCGTTAGCAAGACTAACTGGCCGAATTTCGTCAATTGACGGATTTTCGTTTGCGCATGTGCAGTGTTCACGTTGCGATTTTTTCTGTACGAAAACGCCCCTAACCCATTGATGTTCGTACGCTTCGTAAAAAAAATTCCAGCCTGACCGATCGAGGAAATTCACCCTGTTCTACCGTAATTATGATCGTTCACTTCCCATCAATCGCCAGGTGTATGGGCACCTTTAGCCGCTGTCTGACAATTAACAGCATTGTCAACCTGCTGTGAATGCTCTTTCGGTTGGCTGTTGGGCTGACTATCTAACAAACCACTCCTGCTTGTTAAGGCCTCATTCACACGGGGGTGTGTTGCTCCATACAGCATGAAGGGCTAGTTGTTGATGCACCCAGGGCTGTGGGAAGAAATGCGCAGACAGCTCATTTAAGTCTGTGTAATCAGGAGCTGTTCAGGCTACTGCTCAGTAGCACAGGCTACTTCCCAGAGCTCTGAGTTTTGACAGCCATACAAAGGCGGTGAACCATCTCGGACACAGACATGATAGATCCAGCTCCATACACCATTAGTGTGTAGCTGTCAAAACTCGGAGCGCTTAAAGCAGCATGTGAGGATGCACAGCTTCTGTATATCAATGGAGTTAAATTAGCTGCTCATACTTCTTCCAGCGTGCATCAACAACTGGCCTTTCATGTTGGCCTTTCATGTTGTACAGGGCAACACACCTTATG